ATTTTAAAACACTGGTAAATATTTTGGCCACTTAAAAAATTCTGGTCAATACTCTGGCCATTAAGAAAATAGTGGCCATTATAATGGCCAGAAGTGACTTTTTAAAGGGGTCTGAGGGGTGTAAAAACAGTGTTAAAGTGAAATGAAGAATTATTATAACCTTCTCACTAACCTAAAAGCACAAATAAATATTCAAAAGTTTTGAAAATTAAAACTTTCCGAAACGCGACGGAATTTCCGAAAGTAATCCGGACGCTGTTTTCAGTATTGCAACATCGGGGTTCATTCTGAGTAAATGACAGAATAGAAAGGATGCGAACCACGTTGTGTATGTTCGCCATGCACTCTGAAATTAATGCGAGTTTTCTCATAAAAGCATGAACAAAACTACCATGCCAATCACGATTATTATGAAATAAAACACACTTCTTACACGCATATTTTAAAGAATATCGTCGATGCCCAGTAAAAACACTCTGGGCTTATAATCGTGAATGCCCTCAACTCGATAAATACCTAGTAAAAATAGATGGCTGGCCTTCATACTCGGGAGGGGCTTACGATCGGGGAAGTATGGTACTTTAACGCAATTGGGCTTCTACTCTCAGAATACTGTGGTTCAAATGCATAATGCTCAAACGCATTGTGCATATAAAAGTTGAGTTTATACTGGTAGTACACAATGCTTGGCAGCATGAACGGCTATGTACAATGGCGTAGTATATGAATGCGATCAGACACTAAAACATCATAGCTTTGAAAAGAACCCGGATGTTAAATATGTTCGTTCGTTATTTATTCTCCTCCATGAATGGCCTCCATGGTGTTTAATTGCAAGCACTTCAAATGCCTACCCAAGCTACAGTTACAATTAAAACAAAATTAAACCACTGCAATATTATTTCGAATACAGTTTAGTATATACACAACTATAAATTAAGGCCACATTTAGGTTCGCTTTAACGAATACTTGAAATCGTTTTTATATCATGAGACAGCATGGATATCAACTGCTGTGAACACGTGAATGCGTAGACCACGGTAACCGTGCATAAACTACACTTCGACAATGACCTGTTAATAAAAGCAAAATACGGTAAATATTTCATGCCGTATTTAGTTTACCTATAAAAAAAATGCTAGTTACCCTTTTTTTTCTTCTAAAACCATGTCATTTATTCGGCGAAATTAATTCCATCAGATCGTAATTCTACATCGATAATTCACTTCTGCATTGCGTTACCAGAAATTCTTCGAGAATTGCATCGGTACAACACAGCATTTGAATTGGATAATAACAGACTTGACCCATTAGGTCAAAGGACGTTGATGCAGGTCAAATACAAATACATCATGGCAGAAAGTGCTTTTTATCGAGAGTCAGTGGCGATAATGATGAAGATTTTGACTTCCACTGTGTTCCAACAGACTAATATTTTTAATCTTGTAAATTCGTAATTAATATTGTAATAAAATTTCTGTTTCTTCATTGTAAGAGTCAATGACAATGCACCTAATTTCGTAATTTTATTTTCCCTCAAAGACATAATATCCCCCTCAATCTGTCACATGGTGAATTAAAATTGTAATTTGCACTCTTTTCCGAAGGAGTACTCGGGTAAGCGCCCACCCCTAAAAAATCCTGATTTTTATGAGTTGAGGACCCTGGGCGCTTTCGCAGTCGAGTATGGTATTATCACTAGTATGACAACAGACACCACCAATAGGACAAAAGAATTGTACAATTTTCAACCATAGGACATCTTATCAGAACCGACAATAGACAGTAACAATGACAAAAATGGATAAACTTACTCTGATAGTTGAATATCTGACGGAGTATCAACTCCGGATGCTACTCCGGACGCTACTCCAGTTGCAGCAGGTGCTGGAGAAGGTTGAGTATCGTCAACAAGACGATGTTCCTCTTGCAAAGACAAAGCCACCAAATAACTGGAAAGCCAAACATAACATGAATAGTAATTGTTGTGTTTGGTAGATAAGTGGTGAGAACAAAAAAATACAAAATAACAAGTTGTGACTCACTCTTGATTGATTTGTTGTTCCGTGGAGACATCTGCGGCCGGAGGTATGGCATCTGCTGGCGGACATGTATGAAATCCCCAGTCAACAAAGTAACTATCACCCTCTGTGTTTGCTAGTGTCTCCCAAACAATGCTATTTTCTGTTAAAAAACCCTGATCTGTTACTAGTAAAAACAGTTCACCCTGTGAAATAAAAATAAGAATCAAAGAATAAAACAAACAACAGTTTTGCAGAATGACTTCCTCTGGGATAGTTCATTCACTAAAGCAATTGTGGCAGGGTCAGTACTTCACTGATTAAGCATGTGTGGCAGGGTGAGTAGTTCATTGATTAAACAAGCATGGCACAACCAGTAGTTCATTGATTAAGCAAATGTGGCAGGATGAGTAATTCATTGAATAAGCAAGTATGATACAGACAGTGGTTTATTGATTAAGGAAGTGTGGCAGGTTGAGTAGTTTTAAAAGCAAACAAGCCATGCATGGCACAGTCCCAGTTAGTTATCAAATTTAAGATACATAGTTTTGTTTATAGTAATATAGCTGGAATATAACCATGTCAGGGATATGATTTTTTTAACATTAAAATGATTGACATTTGTATCTGATTGTCAAACAAGTCCATATTGAGAGATATTGCTCTGAAACAGCATTCAAAATCAGCCATTTTGAATACATGAATATATATATAACATGATGTATAACGAATATATAAAATTTGAATATAATCAGTCAAAGCATTTAAGAGATATGGCTCTAGAAGCCCAATCATTAAAACAAAATGGCCGCCAATCAGCCATTTTGAATCCAATCTGAAAAATAAATTGATGCGCATCAGGAACCTGTAATGTCTAATGTGTGTACCAAGTTTGAACAAAATCCATCCATAATGCCAGAAATGCTTGATATTCGGGAATTTTTTTACAATGTAGCACAAAAATGACAACCATTCAGCCATTTTGAATAGGATCGTCAAACCAATATATCTGTCTATCTATGACATGATGAATAATGAATATTTAAAATTTGAACATAATGAGTCAAAACAAGTAGGAGATATGGGTCTACAAGCCCATTCATTAAAACAAAATGGCCGCCAGTCAGCCATTTTGAATGTTATCTAAAAAACAAAATTATTGGCATCAAAGAGCCATAATGTCTAATGTATATATCAAGTTTGAACAAAATCCATCTGTAAACAGCCGAGAAATGCTTGATTTTGATGATTTTTAGCACAAAAATGGCCACCATTCGGCCATCTTGAATCAGATTGTGAAACAAATTGACGTGCATATGTATGATATCACGTATGATGTATGTGTGAAGTTTGATTGTGATTGGTTCAGGCATTTATAAGATACAGGTCTCAATGCACACACACACACACACACGAACACACGGAGATCAAAACATAAGTCCCCGTTTTCGGACTGCGTCCGAACGGGGACTAACAAGCAATTGTGGCAGGGCCAGTAGTTCATTGATTACACAATTGTGGTTGGGTAAGTAATTCATTGATTGGGCCATTGTGGCAGGGTCAGTAGTTCATTGATTAAGCAAGTTGGCAGAGTCAGAAGTTCATTCATTAAACTAGTGTTGCAGGGTATGTAGTTCATTGATTAAGCAATTGTGGCTGGGCCAGTAGTTCGTTGACTAAGCAATTCTTGCAGGGTGGGTAGTTCATTGATTAAGCAAGTGTGGCAGGGTAAGTAATTCATTGATTAAGCAATTGTGGCCGGGCCAATAGTTCATTGACTAAGCAATTGCGGCCGGGTCAGTAGTTCATTGATTAAGCAATTGTGGCCGGGCCAATAGTTCATTGATTAAGCAATTGTGGCCGGGCCAATAGTTCATTGACTAAGCAATTGTGGCCGGGTCAGTAGTTCATTGACGAAGCAATTGTTGCAGGGTCAGTAGTTCATTGATTAAGCAAGTGTGGCACAGCCAGTAGTTCTTTGATCAAGCAATTGTTGCAGGGTCAGTAGTTCATTGATTAGGCAAGTGTGGCACAGCCAGTAGTTCATTGATTAAGCAAGTGTGGCAGGGTAAGCAGCTCATTGATTGATTACGTAATTGTTGCAGGGTCAGTAGTTCATTGATTAAGCAAGTGTGGCACAGCCAGTAGTTCTTTGATCAAGCAATTGTTGCAGGGTTAGTAGTTCATTGATTAAGCAAGTGTGGCACAGCCAGTAGTTCATTGATTAAGCAAGTGTGGCAGGGTAAGTAGCTCATTGATTGATTATGTAATTGTGGCAGGGTCAGTAGTTCATTGATTAAGCAAGTGTGGCAGTCAGTAGTTCATTCATTAAACAAGTGTGGCAGGATAAGTAGTTCATTGATTGATTAAGTGATTGTGGCAGGGTCTGTAGTTCATTGATTAAGTCATTATGGCAGAGTCAGTAGTTCATTGATTAAGCAAATGTGGCACAGCCAGAAGTTCATTGATCAAGCAAGTGTAGCAGAGTCAGTAGTTCATTAATTAAGTAAGTGTGGCAGGGTAAGTAGTTCATTGATTGATTAAGTAATTGTGGCAGGGTCAGTAGTTCATTGATTAAGCAATTGTGGCAGGGTAAGTAGTACATTGATTAAGCAATTTTGGCAGGGTAAGTAGTTCATTGATTGATTAAGTAATTGTGGCAGGGTCAGTAGTTCATTGATTAAGCAAGTGTGGCACAGCCAGTAGTTCATTGATCAAGCAGGTGTGGCACAGTCAGTAGTTCATTCATTAAACAAGTGTTGCAGGGTATGTAGTTCATTGATTGATTAAGTAATTGTGGCAGGGTAAGTAGTTCATTGATTAAGCAAGTGTGGCAGGGTGTAGTTTATGGATTGATTAAGTAATTGTGGCAGGGCCCGTAGTTCATTGATTAAGCAACTGTGGCAGGGTAAGTAGTTCATTGATTAAGCAATTGTGGCAGGGTAAGTAGTTCATTGATTAAGCAATTGTGGTAGTGTAAGTAGTTCATTGATTAAGCAATTGTGGCAGGGTAAGTAGTTCATTGATTAAGCAATTGTGGCAGGGTAAGTAGTTCATTGATTAAGCAATTGTGGCAGGGTCAGTAGTGCATTGATTAAGCAAGTGTGACAGGGTAAGTAGTTCATTGATTAAGCAAGTTTGACAGGGTAAGTAGTTCATTGATTAAGCAAGTGTGACAGGGTAAGTAGTTCATTGATTAAGCAAGTGTGACAGGGTAAGTAGTTCATTGATTAAGCAAGTGTGACCAGGTAAGTAGTTCATTGATTAAGCAATTGTGACAGGGTAAGTAGTTCATTGACTAAGCAAGTGTGGCCGGGTAAGTAGTTCATTGATTAAGCAAGTGTGACAGGGTAAGAAGTTCATTGATTAAGTAAGTGTGGCAGGGTAAGTATTTCATTGATTAAGCAAGTGTGGCAGGGTAAGTATTTCATTGATTAAGCAAGTGTGGCAGGGTAAGTATTTCATTGATTAAGCAAGTGTGGCAGGGTAAGTATTTCATTGATTAAGCAAGTGTGGCAGGGTAAGTATTTCATTGATTAAGCAAGTGTGGCAGGGTAAGTATTTCATTGAGTAAGCAAGTGTGACAGGGTAAGTAGTTCATTGATTAAGCAAGTGTGACAGGGTAAGTAGTTCATTGATTAAGCAAGTGTGGCAGGGTAAGTAGTTCATTGATTAAGCAATTGTGATTTCTTGACAAACAGGATTTGAATATTTGTCATTGTGCAGATGACTGAGGGCTTGTGTCTTTCTAGAAAATATATCTACATTTATAAATGATTTTATAAAGATGTGCAGATTTGTTTAGTTATATTAAAGTAAAAATGTCTAATATTAACAAACAAGCAGCCTCTCGGCTGAGATAGCTCCGCTGTTAGCAGTGCACATTTCAATTAAAGAACAGAAGATATCATTAGAAAATGAACAATATGTATAGTATCAAAACAATCAGACTTGCGGTTTTCAACAAGAAGTGGAAAATATCACTTTTTACCAAAAATTACAAAAATATTCATCGAAATTAGAGAATTAAAGATATCATTACAAAATGAACAAATCTGAGAGGTCCACATGCAGTACCTATATATGTAATATCAAAGCAATTAGACTCGCGGTTTTCAACAAGAAGTTGAAAATATTACTTTTTACCAAAAATGACAAAAATATTCACCAAAATTAGAGAATTGAAGATATCATCATGAAATGAACAAATCTAAGAGAGGTCTACCCAAGGTACATATACAGCAGGGCTAAAAAAGAGAACTGAAGATGAAATAAACAACAAAAATGAATAATAATTATTCAAATCAATGAATGAACTCACTTACCTTCTGTTTATACAAAGTGCAAAAATGATTATTTCGAAAAAACACACAGAGTTCATCTTCTTTAACTTTAGTATTAAGTTCACACAGACCATGATAAGTTAACTGAGATGCTGTGCTCTCTAAGAAAGATTCTAAAACTAAACCTGAAAAAGGATATAGAAAAATAGTGAAATTAAAATACAATGTCCAAGGAAGCCAGACCAGCAACATAACACACTATGCTAGACTTATTTACACCACTATTTTGTGATCACTCCTCTACTTAACAGTAGTTTTAGTCTCATTTTCAATTGATAGGCATATTTGTGATTTAATTATTTTATTGCATTTTTATATGATAAAGAAGTTTGAAGCTATTTGAATTAACTAGGGTTATCGTGTACACATAGCCATGTAACACTTTCTGTTTCCCATCTATAATGAAAATGTGACACAAGGTCAATCGCCCGACCAATCAAAAACGTCAATTTACGCATAGGGCGGTTTATTTAAATTACGTCATAGAATAAAATCACTTTCCAAAATGGGGGACACATGGCCGAGTATCATTTTAAGTTACCCAGGGTTATCGTGTACACCATGTCGAGTATCACTTTCAGTTACCCAGGGTTATCGTGTACACCAAGTCGAGTATCATTTTCAGTTACCCAGGGTTATTGTGTACACCAAGCCGAGTATCATTTTCAGTTACCCAGGGTTACCGTGTACACCAAGCCAAGTATCATTTTCAGTTACCCAGGGTTATTGTGTACACCAAGTCGAGTATCATTTTCAGTTACCCAGGGTTATTGTGTACACCAAGCCAAGTATCATTTTCAGTTACCCAGGGTTATCGTGTACACCATGTCGAGTATCACTTTCAGTTACCCAGGGTTATCGTGTACACCAAGTCGAGTATCATTTTAAGTTACCCAGGGTTATCGTGTACACCAAGCCAAGTATCATTTTCAGTTACCCAGGGTTATCGTGTACACCATGTCGAGTATCACTTTCAGTTACCCAGGGTTATTGTGTACACCAAGTCGAGTATCATTTTCAGTTACCCAGGGTTATTGTGTACACCAAGTCGAGTATCATTTTAAGTTACCCAGGGTTATTGTGTACACCAAGCCGAGTATCACTTTCAGTTACCCAGGGTTATCGTGTACACCAAGTAGAGTATCATTTTCAGTTACCCAGGGTTATCGTGTACACCAAGTCGAGTATCATTTTCAGTTACCCAGGGTTATCGTGTACACCAAGCCGAGTATCATTTTCAGTTACCCAGGGTTATTGTGTACACCAAGCCTAGTATCATTTTAAGTTTAATACCCAGGGTTATCGTGTACACCAAGTTGAGTATCATTTTCAGTTACCCAGGGTTATCGTGTACACCAAGTCGAGTATCATTTTCAGTTACCCAGGGTTATTGTGTACACCAAGCCAAGTATCACTTTCAGTTACCCAGAGTTATCGAGTACACCAAGCCGAGTATCACTTTCAGTTACTCAGGGTTATCGTGTACACCAAGCCGAGTATCATTTTCAGTTACCCAGGGTTATCGTGTACACCAAGTCGAGTATCATTTTCAGTTACCCAGGGTTATTGTGTACACCAAGCCAAGTATCACTTTCAGTTACCCAGAGTTATCGAGTACACCAAGCCGAGTATCATTTTCAGTTACCCAGGGTTATCGTGTACACCAAGCCTAGTATCATTTTAAGTTACCCAGGGTTATCGTGTACACCAAGTCGAGTATCATTTTCAGTTACCCAGGGTTATTGTGTACACCAAGCCAAGTATCACTTTCAGTTACCCAGAGTTATCGAGTACACCAAGTCGAGTATCATTTTCAGTTACCCAGGGTTATTGTGTACACCAAGTCAAGTATCATTTTCAGTTACCCAGGGTTATCGTGTACACCAAGCCGAGTATCATTTTAAGTTACCCAGGGTTATCGTGTACACCAAGCCGAGTATCATTTTCAGTTACCCAGGGTTATCGTGTACACCAAGTCGAGTATCATTTTCAGTTACCCAGGGTTATTGTGTACACCAAGTCGAGTATCATTTTCAGTTACCCAGGGTTATTGTGTACACCAAGTCGAGTATCATTTTCAGTTACCCAGGGTTATTGTGTACACCAAGTCAAGTATCATTTTCAGTTAACAGGGTTATCGTGTACACCAAGCCTAGTATCATTTTCAGTTACCCAGGGTTATCGTGTACA